TTCATTATGAACCTCTCATTGTAGTTTTACTATCCCCTCTTTAATACACACTGCTTTGTCCTAGCCACTCACCTGACACCTTTTATAACCCTGAACTTTGTCAACTTTCCTACCCCACACTCTACAAATCTCTTATGACTAATTACCACCATTGTCTCCCATTTCACAATATTTTGTAATCGATTTCAGCCTAGCACGACGTTTGTCATACTCAAATACGACTGTTTATTTTGACACCCCAGAATTACTAATCTGTTATTCTACGTTAAAAATGTATCTGCCGCATAACTGTCCATTATTGTAACGACAACAAATATTATATTTTATAATTGTAAGAACCTGAAGAGAAATTATTGAGAAGAATATTCTTCGTTCAGATTGACTTTTAGATCCCAAATTTGATCAAGAATTAACTTCAGTTAGAGAATTATTGGTGCTTACCAGCCACAACTATCAGCAATCAGTATCAATAGAGTGAATTTGAAAGAGGTCACTTCCTTAACTTATCTGAATAGGCATCATCGATCGTTTCAGCTACCAGCAGACAGCACGGGTGAAGATGTTAAAACCAGAATTGGAGAAGCAAGATAGACTTTTATCACCCTGAAATCAGTTAAGAATTCTTATATACCCAGCACAAACAACTAAATTCGGATTTTCAGCAGGAGTATTAAGTCAGTCACTTCGTCTATATGGATCAAACCCTTGACGTGTGTCATGGAAAGAATTTCCAACAGGCTTCTTCAGACTTTTATCAACAGCTAAGTTTGCTGACTCGAAACTGAAGACCAGATGGCCAGCCAGAAAGAATTAGCAACAAGAAACTCTGCAGTGGAAAAAACTAACTAAGAACCTTAAAATAAAGACTTTTTTGTATTTCCCAGTGAATGAATGAAAAACAAAACGATATTGCTGTTTTTACTGACATTTCGCTATTTAATGCTGCTAACAGCTTCGTCAAAGCTGTAATCTCAGCTTGTATATAACAATTTAATCATCGTTCCTCAGCATGGGAGCATTTTTACGTTGTCTAGTTGGCCAGTTGGTAAAGATAACAAAACCAGGTTTAGATTGTTGGTTTCGATAAGTGCGTAAAATTGTAAAATCAGAGTGTGTTTACATACTGAAATTGATTGTGACATTTGTGTTGATTTTGTCACTTCATGGCAGGTAGGGGGGTGGTGTTGTAATCAGGTCAAATTCTGTTTCAGTCCATCATTCCTAATCAGACAATTTGGATTCCATTTGATATGAAGTGCTTCTGATGATATCAGACGTTTCTTGTGATTTCCGAAATGCTTTTTCTGGATGATGATTTCAATATTGTCAAAATCAATTTTGTGACCTGATTCTATTATAGCGTATAGACAGATCTATGTCTGATGGTTTTTCAAGCTTTTCTAGTACAACTGGATTTCTCGGTGGTCGAACAGAGTCGGGCCTACGGTGTTCATTTCTTCTGATTTTGATTTCCCGAGATGTTTGTCCAATGTACATTGCATCACATTCCAATCAACCATTTTATTTTATAGACACAATTAGATAGAGAATCTTTAGAGATTTGGTCTTTTATATGGACAAGGTTGCTTCACAGTGTGTCTGATGTTTTGAAGAAAACTCTGATGTCAGGCTTATTGAGTACTCTTCTGATATTGTCTGACGTCTCCGTTCTATATGGAATGACAACTGTTGAGGTCCATGTTTTCGGAATAAGTTTTCGACCATTCTTAATGTCAGTGTTGATTTTGTTAATGAAGTTGTTTGGGTAGTTGTTTTGCTTGAGAGTCTCAGTAATGTTTGATATTTCTTCTTCTTTTTCTTTCTCGTCTGTTATCAGAGAGTGTGCTCGTCTAAGAATACTTGAAACAACTGAAATCTTTGCGCTGATGGAATGTGACGATCCGAAGTCTAAATATTTATTGGAATGGGTATTTCTTCCTGTATATGGATATACTAAAATGTCCGTTTTCCCTTCTCTTAACTAGGCAGGCAGTCTAGAAATGGTAGTTCATCAACGTCTTATTCTGCTTCCGAAGTAAACTAGATTCTGTGAGATTGATTGTTTATTTTCTCCAGGAATGAACTGTGTAGATCTCGTTTTAGCACTACAAAAGTATCGTCTACATAACCTGAACATATCCAGGAGTGAGTATGCCTGGAAAGATATTATTTTGGAATCTATTCATGAAAAGATCAGCAACTATTGGGGAAACTGGTGAACCCCTAGCAACACCATTTGTCTGTCTATATAAATCCCCTATAAATGTAAAATAATTACTTTCTGGACAAATTTTAAGCTCTTAATAATTTCACTGGTGTCCAGTGGACCTTTATTGTAATAAATATCAAAAACCCAATGCCCAAATTTTTTCAAACTGTTAAATGTGAACTTGATTTGGACATACAAAACCAGAAACCTGTTGCTCAAGAAATATTCTGAGGAAAATAGAGACAGATAGAACACACGTCTCTGAGGAGATCTTTGGGGAACATAGCATGCCAGGACTCGACTGGAACACTAACAGGAAACAACGAGCTGGATGATGGTCCGAGGGTGATATGGAGAAGATAATGTGAGCAGAAACTGAAAGCTCATGGGCAATCAGTGGAACAGCTGAAGAGGACTGCAGAGAATAGGACAAACCGGAGATGTGCTGTTGAAGCCCAATTAGTCGTCTCGGAACCCAAGAGAATAATAAAAATAGTAATAAGGGCAGCACTGAAATCAAGTGACTAGTGGGGTTAACCAAGTTCCGTCTGAGGAATAATACTAGCCAATAACATTAGTTGGCAGTGGCAGGAGTTAGAATTCATGAGCCGACGATTAAATTTTGTCCTAATGACTAAATGGTCGACTAGCTCTTCTTGTAACCATGACAGTTCTTGGTGTAACACTTGGTGGTGGGGTGACTGGGTGCGTACTGGGGAGAAGGGTCCCCGATCAGGACGAAACAGCTGTCTATCTGGTGGTTTCCAACGGTTCTCCAACTGAGGTCAGTTCATTATCCCACTTGAAACCATATCATCAGATTTAAAACAATTACACAAATATTGAATATTCACATTTGATCATAGGGAATAATAAAAGGACAGTCACCGCGAAGAAAATTTTGTTTTCGACGAAGTCGCCGTCAACTAGATAGCTGTACATTCGTGTATTTATAATAAATGAGTGAGAAAATCCCAGAATAATTTCCGGCTAAGAGTTAAATTAATAAAATTACAATTAGGAATTAAAATGCCATAATAAACAGGGGGGTGGGGACGGATAAAACTCAAACAAAGTAGCATCATAATTACTGAGAAGATTGGCATATTGTGCAGTTAGGAGTTTAGAAATGTAGAAATAACAAAATAGACAGGATGGTTGGATAAAAACATGCATACACCAGTTTACTTGCTCGTGCGGAGCTGAGCACATCTGCCATATCATGCGTCAACTTGCAAACGCGCTCGTGAACAATTTCCAGACTGGCTAGAAGAAGGAGAACGAAAACGTGTATATAGTTCAGTGGTCAATTCAGGACATTCAGTGCCATTCGAGAAATCCTTCAAAATCATATACAAGATTCGATCAAACCTATCAAAGGGAGTAAAACCAAGACATCTGGGCATAGCCAAGGCACTAGCTATCCCGAAGCTCAAACCCACGCTATGTATCCAAAAGAAATAAGTTCAACCTTTGTCTCTGCCATGGCTAACATAAACAGGTAATTCTTTTAATAGTGACTATCCCAATGCCTTTCTTATCCAAACTTCCTGTTTATTCATGTTATTTTTAAGTTTTTCTTAATCCCTATTTACACTACCATATTTTCGTATCCGAACTTCCTGTCTATTTTGTCATTTTATTATTTCTACATATTTAATCCTTGATTGCATAAAAAATTATTCGTCACATTAGTTATGATCCCACTAGATTTTGTTATCCAACCATCCTGTCTATTGTGTTATTTCTACACAATATGTCAATCTTCTCAATAATTATGATGCTACTTTGTTTGAGTTTTATCCGTCCCCACCCCCCTGTTTATTATGGCATTTTAATTCCTAATTGTAATTTTACTAATTTGATCGTTGACTGGAAATTATTCTGGAACTTTCCCATCCACTTATTATTATAAATACGCGAATGTACAGCTATCTAGTTGACGGTGACTTCGTCGAACTGAAAATCTTCTTCTCCGTAACTGTCTTTTTATATATTCAAACCTTTGTTGGTCGTCTCATATTCTTATAGTTTCTAAGACAGTTTTCCGTCTGACTTATTACATAAAGAAGTTGAGGCACTCAGTTATAACCCAATCTCTTCTCATACAATTTATTAATTCACGTATTTTGCCCATCATTCTTTATTGTTCTCCATTATTCTTCCCTGGGCTACTCAAGAGAGACCATATAATACTACGAAGAACATCGAAGGCTGTAAGTAGGGTCAGTGCTATCCCTTTGACTCAACTAACCGACAGTGTTGTCAATAGGCATATGAATTCTTGTAAACACTTAGCTAAAGTTATCTTGTCTGATAGTGAACATCCTCTTTATTCACAATTGTTTCCTTGTATCTTTTCGGGTAAGACCAGAAGAAATTTCATAAACATTTATGCTCGTACTACAAAATATAAAAATTCGACCGTACCATATTTGGCACGAGTATTGTGTGAAGAGACAAATATCAGAAAAGAACTCTTACAACTTTTAAATCATTAACTTAAACCATAAAATGTAATGATGCATATTATTGCATGTGTTATTTGTTATATTATTTATTTATTATTCACTATGACCTAGCAATGGTGTGATTTTGTTGGGGTTTTTATTTTTCCTATTAACTATCAATATTTTAATATTTTATACATTTATATAATTATAAACAGAGCTAAACCATTGCAATATGTAAAAGAAACGCTGAAAATTCCATGTTGTAAATTGTTATTGTTGTGGAATAAAGTGATTATTATTATTATTACTATTATTATCATCAAATATTCAATAATTACCTGATTTATTTTCTATGTCATTATGTCTTGATGTATTGTCAGCGTCATTTATCTTATACAACGAACTACGTGATGAATGTTGCGGAATATTTTGTTGTTTATCATATATGCCGACATCTTTATTGGATGATAAACAGGGTATTGAATTGACATCGTAGGACCATTCATTATTATTATTGTTATTTGGATTTAACACTTCATTTCCTCTTTCGTGATCTTAGAACAATCAAAAATTAAAAGAAAATTATAACATAAACAAAAACATTGGAAGATGAATAAGTGAATTAGTTCATTTAAACAAATGAATCGAATTTGGCCGGATTGTTGAAATAATTGGGATCAAACATGTACAAACTAAATATCGAATGTAAAACAAAGTTACTCACATTCTCTGTAATAATAGGTGGAAGGAGCAAAAAAAAATGTTATGCATACGGTTTTAACTTAGTGGTCTTTGAGTTCACTGTTTCAGGCTGAAGAGACTGCTTATAGATGGCATTGGTTGAGTAATGTCGCGGATGATTTATGTTTGATGTTACACAAAATCGAAGATTTACAAGCGAAAACCGACAAACTGGTCGAAGAAGCAGCAAAGACAGGACTCCAGGTGAACATAGGTAAGACGCAGGTTATGAAAATAACCAACCAACAACAGCAACATCCAGTGCCAATCACCATCAACGGGAGGGATTTGAAAGAGGTTACTTCTTCCCCTTATCTAGGGAGCATTGTCTCAACTACAGGCACATGGAACGGACGAGGATGTCAAATTGAGACGAGAATCGGGAAGGCGAGAAACACATTCACCAACCTGAAACCAATCTGGAAATCTTCCGCTGTCACTCAACTCAGCATCAACAACAAAATTCGGATTTTCAATACAAACGTCAAGTCAGTTCTTCTTCTATATGGATCAGAAACTTGGCGGGTCACAAAGAATATTTCCAACAGCCTGTTGCAGACCTTTACCAACAACTGTCTTCGCTATATACTGAAGATCGGATGGCCGGAAAGAATCACAAACAAGAAACTATGGGAACAAACAAAACAAGAACCAATCGCCCAACAAATATGCAGGAGAAAGTGGAGATGGATTGGACACTCTCTGAGGAGGCCGCTGGGTGACATCGCGCGTCAGGCCAATGCTCGAGTGGAATCCGAAAGGGAAGCAGCGAGTGTGACGTGCAAGGGTGGCACAGTGGTTAGGACTCTCGCCGACCATGCACATGGTCCGGGGTTCGATCCTCTGCCGGCGCACACCCGATATCTATGGTCGGCCTGAATTTGGGCTACCGATATCCATGCTGAAAGTTCCATACTTGTACTGAAAATACGGTGTGGAATCAAGCTGAAAATCAAAAATCAAAAAAAAAAAAAAAAAAAAAAAACATGGAGGAGATCGTGTAAAGAGGAGTTGAAACAGTATGGATTAACATAGATGCAAGTGAAAGGTACAGCAGAAGACAGAAGCAAGTGGAGGCGTGCAGTTGAAGCCCTATGTTCCACTAGGAACCCAAGGGAACAATAATAATAATAAATCATGAGCTGATCAAATTGCAAATCTATGCATCAGTCAAACTTCTACCTTAACTTCATCGACTTCGAGAAGGCCTTCGACAGCGCAGCGTTGCTCGTGAAGTGATTTGGAAGCTAGGTCAACGCTACGGCATGCAGTTCTTAAGTCTCAATCAACCTCATTCAACAGTTATATGATAGTGGCACTTGTCAGATGCTCCACAATATTTGCAGTATTCATCGTAATTTCTAAAAGAACATTTTGTCTGACTTTTTACACTAAGAAGTTAAAGCACTCAGGCATAACTCAAACCCTCCTCCTCTTAAAGTTTGTCAACTCGTGCATCTTACCTATTTTTCCTTACTGTTCACCCTTACTTATTCTTTCCCGGATTGCTTAAAAACGACTATGTCATAATTCGTAGAACTCTGAAGACTGACCGTCAGTAGACTGAGTGGTATCCCATTCGGCCGTATCGTTGACATCGTCATTGATGAAAGGCACTTGATTTCATGCAACAAATTTGCTAAAGGAATTTTGTCAGACTGTGAGCATCCACCACAGCACCCGCAGCTCCAACCTTGTGTCTCCTCAGGTAAAACAAGAAGTCTTTTCAGAAGACTTTATGCACGTACATGTAGGTATAAAAATTCCACTATAACATATTTGGCGACACGTACTTTATGTGATGAAAATAGTGTCAGGCATGAACTAACTAACCTTCTTTACATCACTAAATTAACCATTTCCTCCACCCTAACAACATCAAGCTTTATTGTTATTGTTCCTCTTATATTTATAATTCTCTCAATTTTTTTGTTTTTATTTGTTTATTTTCCCATAAGTGTGAACATCATTTAAGCTGTGTTATAACTGTTAATTTTGTGTTTCCCCTCACTATACTATATCAACAGAACATTAGATTCAATACTCTATAATATGCTAAAATTTCCAAACTGAATCGACGATACTGTTTGAAACAAACTCACTGTTATTATTATTATATTTACTATTCTCATTTTGTACTTCGAATATTTTTGACTTTATTCCTACCGTAAAGGTAGACAAATTCCTCTGGTGAATTTTGTTTTAATTTTATTTATATTTTGAGTAAATCAGATGCAATATTGTGACAAATTCTGTTTTTGGAATGAAGTCTCTTAATATTATTATTTGATGCTTTATAAAAAAATGGAATAATTCCATAAAAATATTCGTATACGTGTCCACGGTTGCAACAAGAAAGGTGAAAGCCACAGGAGAACCCCTTACTAGAGTCTCTGTTTAAGATAAGAAACACACAGAATTATCAATAAACTAACCACCTACAGACGTAAGATTGAACAATTAAAGTTTACACTCCAAAATTTAGTACATGTCAAGGATTATTAAAAACTAGTCCTTCTTATATATTCGGATAGTGTCATTAGAAGATGGAGATTACCTGAAAAATATGAATGTATTTGTACAATATGTTTCAAACAATCTTATCACATACACACACATCTACCTGTCAGGGCAATTTATGTATGAAGAATAAAGGCCAATTAAGTTACACAAAGTGACGAAAAGGATTTAAAAATAAGAATAACAAGAACAGTTAACAACACTACGTTTGATTATTTAATCAGATAGAATTACCGAGGCCGGTGGGCTAAGAGTACTAATAAATTGATTTTATACACACAGGGGGTGGGTTGGGGGCTTAAGTTTAAGAATACCTATCGCCCCAGCGTATCTCAATAAGCAATCTTAACCGGGCCATGCTTATATATGTATATTATATTAAAAACCTGTCCATTTATTTAATTGCTAAAGTACCTTTCTACAGGAGATATGGAGATGACAGTATTTTGATATGCGATGATTATGATGATACGAGTCCTCTACTGGATAAACTCAATTGGGTATGAAACCCTAGCGGGTGTGTATGGCCGATGATTCCTAAACTAGGATGGAACAGCTGCCCAGTACTCACTGGTTTTCAATTGTTCTCTAACTGATATCAATCTGTGATCAACTCGTAAAAACAAATCTAATCCTTACCAACCAACTGTTGAACATTCATATTTTTCAGATATACTCCATCTTGTAATAACACTATCGAAACAAGGATTATAAAATCATGCTCAAAACATTCAAAAGTTAAGTTCGGCTGTGTTCCATAAATTCAGAAAGTTCAACAAATTAATGGAAGAAAAATATCCTGCCACGGAAAAATGAATTCACCAATGAAATACCATCAGCCATTGATAAAACAAAATGGGTAATTAAACTGTCAACAAGAGGGTGGGCTTAGGAGTGCATCCACCAGGAATGGAACCTTAGATCAGGTACATGACTAGCAAGCATTCGAGAGGCGAAGAAACATTCATCTCATATCTTAATGACAATCTAGGACTTAGGCATATTTTTGGATTGCAAATGCATATTAAATAAGTTTATCAGATATGACACACAATCAAACACTGTATTTTTTAACTGTTTGACGTTTCGAGAACATTTTATTACCATTCATAATCAATGAGTAGTGATTCAGTGACTCAATGGCGTGGAATTATGCTCTTGTCCACCCACGCAAATTAAAGTACTATGCCGCGCCATCCTGAAGAGAATAAAGGATGCATTGGATACAGAACTCCGCCCTGTCAGAACAAGCTGGATTCAGGAAAGGCAAATCATGTGCTGATCGAATTGCAACTCTACGCATCGTCATCATAGAACAAAGCAATGAATAGCAGTCAAACGTGTACCTCAACTTCATCGACTTCGCAAAGGCCTTCGACAGCGTTGACCGAGACGTAATTTGGAAACTAATTCAACACTACGGCGTGCAGTACTCAAGTCTTTATCAACCTCATTCGACAGCTGGCTATATGACAGTGCTACGTGTCAGGTGATCCATTACGGAAAACTCAGTGAGGCATTCGAAGTGCATACAGGAGTAAGACAAGATGACTGCCCACTACTATCTTAACTATGGTGCAATGGATTATGCTTCACTGTGCATGAGGAGCGACAAGACATGAATACGCTGCAATAACCGATAGGAAGACTCTAGAAGATCTGCATTTCTCAGATGATATATGTCTAGTGTCACAGAAACTCGAAGACTTGCAGACGAAAAAGAACAAACTGGCTGAAGAGGTAGTGAAGGCAGGACCAAAGGTGAAGATAGAGATGTCGGAGGTAATGAAGATAACCAACGAACCGCAACAACAACAACCAACACCAACCACTATCAACGGGAGAGATTTGACAGAGGTAACTTCCTCCCTTCACTTATCTACGAAGCATAGTTTCAACTACAGGAGGAACGGATGAAGGTGTCAAAGTAAGCCAGAATAAGAAAAGCAAGATACGTCTTCATCAATCTGATACCAGTTTGCAAATTTTCTGCTTCACTCAGCCAGCCAGCCAGAATGAAGAACAAGATTCGGGTTTTCAGCACCAATATGACGTCGGTAATTCTGTATGGGTTGGAAACCTGCAGTGCGTGTCACGCAAAAGGATTTCCTACAGCCTGTTGTAGACTTCTATCAACAGATGTCTTCGCTTCATACTGAAGATCAAATAGCTAGCTAGAAAGAATTAAGAAGGAGAAACTCTGACTGAGAACAAACCAACAGGTGAGAGCCGATTGCTCAACAAATTTTTAGGAGGAGATGGAGATGGATTGATCGGTCACACATTGAGGAGA